GGTGTTGTTGCCGATTATTATTCGTTGTCATGGCTATTTTTCTAGAGCGGAAAAAAATGTGAAAATGTTACAGAAAATAGTTCATTTGACTTACACTGTGGCGTAGAAAAATATATTTGAATAGTAAATAATTAAAATGGGTGTATCTATCCTCATTTGGTTTGAACTGATTTTTTTTTTTTTTTTGTGAAAATTTGTCTTTTATTTAATGACTAATTAAAGATTTTAAATAAAAATTAAAATTAGTTTTGATTTCAAACTTCCCAACTATGTACCCCTTTACGACACTGTCTGTATGTTTTTTTTTTTTTTTTGAATATAAATTGCGATAATATGAAACAACGTAAATATAACCGGCATATCAAAAAGAACGACAACAACAAAAAACTTTAGTGAAATGAGGTAATTTCATTAAAAATAACAAAATGCCAGTATCGTTGTTGTGTTGCTACTTTTTTTCTCCTGAAAAAAAAAAATCGTCAACAACAACAACAAACCGGGAACGAACATAGTGGCCGGTTATGTCAAATAGTAAAACAAGCCCTGTACTAGAACTAAATGTAAAAAAAAAAATTGGACGAAAACTAAAAAGTCATCAAGTGTTTGTTGTGTGTTGTTGAGCCGTGATAATGACACCTCCTATTAGAATAGAAAAAAATAAAATAAAAAAATAGAAACTGAAATAAAACGAACTTTGTAAAAAAACAAATTCTATCAATTTTTTTTTTGCTGCTATGAAGATACGAATAGCTGCACAAAAAAAAAAACAAAGAGCAGCAGCAGAGTGCCTTGTTTGGCAACTAACGCTGCACGAGAAGCGTTTGTTCAGAAGCAACAAAAATTTAATTCGTAAATGTTTTTCAAACTAAGAGAATGACTATTTAAAAATTTTCACTATCATTTGGGGAAAAAAGAGAATCGTTTTATGAGAGAGCCACCCTGACGCTCATTATCTTATCTCAGAATTGTTTGCAATATTATTATTTTGCAAAAATATCGTATTATTCCTCTACTTCATTTCCTAAATGTGTTGACTCTATGGGCGAAAGGTAAAATCGAAATCGCTACATTCAATTTAATGAGCAAGCTTCTTGAAAAAAAATTGGCAAGAACTAAAATAGCAACAAACTTCTCAATGGCTCGTGTCTTATCAGTCGCCAAAAAAATGGGAAAGGTGCTATGGCTAGCCAGCAACTATTGATTACGTTGAGGTAACGTCATTTTGGTTTGGGGGAAATTTCGTTGTTCTATCATTTTTATACGATATGCAAATTCAGTATTTAATAATGCCACTTCTTTTCATTCTTCCTCCTCCTCCTTCTTTCCCATTCAGTTACCTGGTTTAAACAAAAACCGCCAAAGGTCGATTTTTTTATCGCCACCAACAGAATCCAAGATAAATATAATTTTAATTGGTTTATTTTTATGGCCAAACCTGCATGGTATTGTTTTTGTTGGGAATTTCATGAAAGGAATCCGTCACTGGGTAATTATCATAGGGCTGGGCGATATCAGCCAAATTTTGCTTGACCTTTCATTAAAATAAACGATTAAAAATGAAAAATTTTAATTTGATATTGAATAATAAAACGAATGAAGGTCTCACGTGAATATAGTTGGCCATCAAGAGCAGTTCTTGAAATATGAGGTAGGAGTTAGTACCTACTGCGAACTCCAAATTCCAATTTTAAAACATTTCCAGTGAGAAGTGTGACAAAATTTACCGAATAACTGCGGGTACAGTTATATGAATGCTATACCAAAACATGGACCTACATAGCCCACAAAGTCCTGCAGACCTAAAACATATCTAAGAGAAATTTCATCAACCTACCTTATTTCGTTCGAAAGCTAGAGTGATTTCCAAAGACAAACATGGCCAAATTGACATAGACTTTTATGCTGATCAAGAATATTTACTTTGTGGAGTCGAAAATGCATATTCTGAATCCATACTGTGGTTGATGTAAAATGTTGTGAAATCCACGACCATGGCAAAGAATGTTCTTAAAAAATCTTCATAAAATGCAAAACTAGTGCTTTTAGCTCTGAATGAGCCTGAAAAAAGTTAAAAAGTATCAGTCGGTTTTGTTGATAAAAATGTCCATTTGTTTACAAATAACGGTTGAGATAAAACAAACTGCAACAAAGCCAAACACCATAATTTTGACTTTTTTTAATTTTATCAAATGAAAGCAAAATGTCGGAAATAGCATCAAATTTGAGAATAATTTTACATTTGTTCGAATTGGCAAAAGTTGTGGCTTTTAAACGGCCAATGAAACCGCCACACGCTGCCCGAATGTTGCTCTGTGGTATTTTGGCCCATTCCCGGCGAAACGCTTGCTTGAGGTGATCGACACTTTGATATTTTTTAGTGCAAACCTTGCTTTCCAAAATACTCCAGACACAATAGTCCAACGGATTGGTATCCGGATAGTTTGATGGCCATTGTGCGCTGGAAATGAAGCAAGGAACTTCATTTTGTAACCATTCTTGGGTGACGTGTGCTGAGTCCTGTTGGAATGTCCAAGGTCTGCGGCCAAAATGGTTCCGCGGCCAAAGCCTTTAATACACCCTCCAGAATAATTTCGCAATAATATTTGGATTTATTCTGATGCCACGGTCGATTAATACGAGCGGAGAGCGACCATCGGCTGTTATGGCGGCCCACAACATCACCATGGCCGGTGCTTGAGTTCTGGTGGCCAACCGAAGGTGCACATTTTCAGCTAACCTCTTTGGCAAGTAAACACGATCATTTTGTTTGTTTACAAACTGCTGGATAACGAATGTTTTCTCATCGGAGAAAACCGAATTCGGCTGTTCACCACTTTCGGCCAAGCGAATCAACTCTTTTTATCTCTTTCGAGTCTATTTTCTTTCTGTTACGGTGTAAGTTCTTGCACTTTTTGGAATTTCAAAGGCTTTACCCTGAGCTCATTTTTCATTATTCGCCGAATGGAATATTGCGATATGTTCAGCTCACGAGCCATTTTTCGGCTACTGTGATGCGGGTTTCGACCACGTCGCTTCTTTTCGTACCATAAAAATATTTGGATGTGTAGAAGTTAAAGAAAATCGAACATTTATTTCCAATTTCAGGCGAAAATTTGTTAATCAAAATTTTTATTTTTTGGGGGTGAGGTACCAGAACGAGTGGCCCGATAAATTCCATATTCACGTCAGATCTATGGTTGAGAGAAATATATACATGTACCAAATCTATATCTGTACCGATATATTTTATCTGTATACCAGAACTTGTGATCTTTATACCAGATCTGGATATTGTGTCGGTGGAAAGATTAGGATATGCTACGTTTGAAAAGAATCAGATGCTTTTATCGCGTATTATGAGCACTTTGGTTATTCTAAATTTTTTTGTAGGGAGCTACCAGAAGGCGTGATCCTTTCGATCCGCTCCTCATTCCAGATCTATCGTTGATAGAAATATAGAGACGTGCCGAGTTAAAAGGAATCGTATGATAATTTCGTGTTTTATGAGTATTATGGTTAATCAAAATGTTGACCGGTTGTGGGTGAGGTAGTAGGAGGAGTGGTCCTATCCATCTCATCTTCATACAAGATCTAGAGTTAGTACAAATATTAAGATGTGTCAAGTTTTAAAAGAATTGAATACTCATATTGCATTCTATGAGGGTTATGTGGAATTCAACATTTTGACTCGTTGTGGAGGAAGTACCAGAAGGTGTGGTCCGTTCTATCCGTTCTTCATACCAGATTTTGTGTTGGTAGAAATATTGAGATGTGCGAAATTTGAAGGCAATCGCACCCCACTCCCCTTTGTGAGGGAGTTACTTGTGCAGTAGTCGATATTGTCCATTTTCGCACCTGCCCTGCCCTAGCACAGAATGAATCTGCCCTAGCCCTGACAATCTTTACTATTACAGTTCCGATGTTCTTTCGAAAGTTCTTTTTAAAAATTCATGATTATGGCCTCCAAAAATGTATAAAGAAGATACCCGCCTAAAATTCTGCTAGAGAATTCATTACTACGACTTCGGCAGCCCTTCAAAAAATTTAGGAGTATCCGAGCTTTTAGAATTGAAAGCGTTTTAACAATTAAAAAGAACTTCTTTTAGCTTTGACAGCCCTTAAACAATATTCTGAAATTCCACAATTCTAAATCTGAAAGTCCTGTGTGAATAGGGATCAATGTTGTTATATGGCCCCACAAAATAGTACTCCCCGAAATTCCGTACTTTTTTACACATTTTAGTAGAGTTGTTAGCAAATTTAGGATTTGATGTTCCAACCCCCTGAATGGGAATGGTGTCTATAGTCCCACGCTTATGTATAGCCTCCATATAGCCCGACATTCGACGTTTTAAAGATCTTTCCTCATATTATGTCCAAAAGGCCTATAATTTGTAATTTCTGATTCTCACAGAATTTACAACGTGCCATAAAACCTGTGGTGTAGGTCCACTTTTTGCTATAACCCCTATATTCTGCATTTTGTAGACTTGACGCATATATTTCTGCCGATTCCACTAGCATTTTCAGTTTGAAATCAAGCACGCTCGAGTATTGAATTTCGAGTCTGCTATTTTCAAAGGGTTCTTTTCTTCATGGTGTGTAGGGAAATTAAAATTCGGCCTGGCTGAGGTTAATGCCGGTTTTACTTGTTCTTTTTATTCTAATTCAAATGCCTCCTATTTTAACTAATTTAATTTTGACTTGGGCTAACAGCTATTTTATTGCTATTCTTTGTTATTCCTCTTTAATTTGCATTATTCTCATCAAAATAGAAAAACACAGTCACTCACACAAAACCCCCCGAATTGTGTGTCTCAGGCCGCGTTATATTAAATCATTTCCGGTGCAATGTCACCAACCAAAGCCGCAAACAAAATTCGACAGCAGACACTATCCGAACAGCAACAATAAAACTGTCCTCTCGTTCCAACTCCTCCCCCACATGCCCACCCACCGAATAATTACGCTCAACATTCTCTATGACGTCTACTCTTTAGGCTTAAGCTACCTAGCACTACAAAAGTGGAATGTGTAAAACAAATGGAAAATAGAAAATAAAATCATACCGTTAACCTGTGAAAAATGTGAAAAACAAAAAAGAAAATTAATTATGGCAAATTTATGCAAATAAAATGAAAGTCTGTGGAAACAGAAAAATATAAAAAAAAAAAAAAATAAAATTCAATTTGAATATAACTAAAGAAGTAACAAGCGGCAGTGAAATGCAATTCAATACAATACCGTGAATTTTGTGTTTATTAAAATAGCAAGAGAGTAACAGAGAGAGAAAAGGAGTGAAATAACAACAAAACCAGTGCTATGTCCATTTAAACTTAACACCATCACAGACGTCTGTCACCAACCAGTCGACCAACAAATATATCACCATGTATAACAGTTACACCAACTCTTCCAACTCCTCTCCCCATGTCCAAATGAGGCGTCTGACGCCTTTCACACCCTTCCCTAACAACCGGCAGAGCATTCCGCCTCCACCCCAGCGCTCCGTGTCGACGTCTTCGCTAAACATCCCCTTCAGTGCACCGGCTCATCTAATGCAGACAGCCTTTGAATATCCCCCAGTTCCCATGGTGCACAAAGTCGCCGCATCGAAGTATCCGCTAAATTATGAACGAACAGACAAAGTAAGTCCCCCCCTCCCATCGTTTGCAAATTCGATTTAAGCCATTATGAAGTTTGTGATGAAAATTTATGAACTTTTAATTGGCATCAAACATATTTTTTATGGAATTGTGAAATGAATTTTCGAATTGAAGAGAGTTAAAAAGTGGCGAGGGGAGAAAGTATCTTGCCCCGTTATTGGATCTTTTTATACCCACCCATCACATCAGATGGAAGGTATACAAGTTTTGTGTTTCTATATAACAGATGAGAGTTAAAATTCGAATTAGCCATATTCGTGTGACCTACCGGAAGTTGAAATATCAATACAGTTTTTAAACACCTGAAATATCTTTTTAAAAAAGTGTCCCTCATAAAAAAAAAATAAATAAATAAAATATTTAAAATGTGCCTTTTTGATTGAAATCCGTGCATTCAAAATGTTTATACCAATATTTCTTGGTTAAAAAAAAAAAATAATAGAAATTCAAATATTTAAAAAACTTAATTATTGCAATACTTTAATGCGTAAACAAACAAATAGCTCGGTCTACCAACGTGTGGACATTCCAGGAACAAAGAAAAGCAGCAACATCATAGACAAATGAAAATATAGACAACGAAATGCTCTCACCGTTTATCTTCGAAAAAAATCGAATCAGCAGATGTCGTCTATATCGTTTCAGGGGTTTGAGTGGGAATATTGAAGTCACTCAATTCTAAAACGTTAAAAATAACAAAAACTGTAGGATATTTGTCAGTTGGAAATTGTTGCATAATAAAATAAATGTGAAAATTACGAGATGACATCAAAAAATTCCGGAATAATCAAGTGAAATTCTTGAAAAACGATGAAATGTGTTTTCGAAGTCGAGTGGCTTGAACGCGTAAATGAGCATGTTGACTATGCAAAACATGATGAGAGCCACCTGAAAAAAAAAAGACCAAACTAACTTTTCGTTGTCTATATCTTAATTTGTCTATGGCAACATTCCAAATTTAGTCCGCATACACGAAGGGGTTGTTCTTCGGATTTATTATTTTCATAGCAAATGCCAAGCGTGCAGGAAACTGCAATCTTTTGAAGATTAGTGGCGTTTCTATTGCAAAGGCGTTGTTTGTCAATTAACCCTCAACCTGAGCCGATTTAAATACAACAACGAAATTTACTTTGACAACAAATTCCGTCACTCCATTGAAATTGTAACCAAATTCAGCAAAACATTCTGATTTCCATTGGAAACGGACATACACACCGTGTTTAGCACCAATACATGAAATCGCCCATATATACACGATACTTATGTTGTACGATATTTATATATACATATATATATGTATATGTATATATATATATATATATATATATATATATATATATATATATATATATATATATATATATATATATATATATATATATATATATATATATATATATATATATATATATATTCCATATCTATAAAAGAGGAAAATGTTTGTATGTTTGTTTGTTTGTTTGTTTGTTTGTAATTTATGGACTCGAAAACCGCTGAATAGATTTTCCTGAAAATTTCCATATATACTGCAACATCGCCTGAAAGTAACATAGGCTATATACATTTTTGAATTTCCACTTGGAACTGGAGATATAGCATCAGAATCGGAGGTACCTCCCAAAAATTTAGATTTTATATGCACATATCTATTGATTGGTTAAAGATACAGTCTCCAAATTTGGAATACGTAACGAAATTTGGAACAAAAATAAGTTTGACAAATTATATTGTAATCGGTTCAGATTTGGATATAGCTCCCATATATATTTTCGACCGATTTCCATCATTTGATGCCTCAAACACAATATGAATGTTCGATTCCAATGAAATTTGGAATGTGTGACGGGATTTAATCCGAAAATAAATTTGTCAAATTATATTGAAATCGGTTCAGATTTGGATATAGCTCCCATACATATTTTCGGCCGATTTCAAACATTTGATGCACCAAACACGCTGTGTATCCCCAATTTCAATGAAATTTGAAACGTGTGATAGATTTTATCTAAAAAATTGATTTCCCAAATTATATTGAAATCGGTTCAGATTTGGATATAGCTCCCATATACATTTTCGGCCGATTTCATGTATTTGGGGGACTAAACACGACATGTATTTCCAATTGTAATGAAATTTAAAATAAGTAACGGAATTGGGAGCCGAAATGAATTTGTCAAATTACATTGAAATCGGTTCAGATTTGGATATAGGTCCCATATATATTTTCGACCGATTTCATGTATTTGATGCACCAAACACGATATGTATCTCTAATTTCAATGAAATTTGGAATGTGTAGCGGAAATTAAAACAAATATACATTTGTCAAATTATATTAAAATCGGTTCAGATTTGGATATAGCTCTCATATATATTTTCGACCGATTTCATGTATTTTATGCACCATACACGATATGTATGTTCGATTCCAAAGAAATTTGGAATATGTAACGGGATTTTGATTAGAAAATAAATTAGTCAAATTATATTAAAATCGGTTCAGATTTGGATATAGCTCCCATATATATTTTCCGCTGATTTCACATATTTGATGCACAAAACATTTGGCATGAGTGGCTAAATTTGGTACAAAAATAAATTTGACAAATTATATTCAAATACGCTCAGATGTGATTATAGCTCCCATATATATACTCAGCCGATTTCACAAATTTGATGCACCCAAAGCCAGAGGGACAAAATCTGGCACCAGCAAAAATTGGCAAATTATATTGAAATCAGTTGAGGTTTGGATATAGCTAACATATATATTTCGGCCGATTTCATACATATTATGCACCAAACACGATATATATGACCGATTCCAATGAAATTCAGAACGTGTGGCGGAATTTGGTTATAATAATAAATGTGATAAATTAATTGGAAATTAGTTAAGATTTGGATATAGCTCCAATATATATATTCTCGGCCGATTTCACATATTTGACGCACCAATTTCAATGAAATATGAAAGGTTTGGCGGAGTTTGGTGTAAAAGTAATTTGTTTAAAATTATATTAAAATCGGATCAGATTGGGATATGATTTTAATAAGAACCATTGACCCACAACGCCTTAGGCTAACACTAAAAAACAACACAACAATTTATTTGAAATATGCTTATTACGGCGAAGTATGTTGCTATCTCGAATTCACTAATTGCAATAGAAATGCCTCTCTACTTAAAAAAATTGCAGTTTCCTGCACGCTTTTTATTTGCTATGAAATAAATAAATCCAAAGGACAAACCCTTCGTGTATTCATATCATGTTACTGCTTTTGTAATGATTTTGTTTATTATTTAAATTAGTGCAATATTTTTATTTTAATTTTTAAATTTGTTTTTCTTTATCCAACATATATTCGTAAATAAAATTTTGAATGCATATAAAATCAAAAGGGGTAGCGAAGCGCACCGGGTTCAGCTAGTATATATATATATAAATACATTTGTCAAACTATATTGAAGTCGGTTCAGATTTGGATATAGCTTCCATATATATTTTCGGCCGATTTCACATATTTGATGTACCAAACACGATACTTATGTTGTATATATATATATATATATATATATATATATATATATATATATATATATGTTGTATATATATATATATATATATATATATATATATATATATATATATATATATATATATATATATATATATATATATATATATATATATATATATATATATCGTGTTTGGTGCATCAAATATGTGAAATCGGCCGAAAATATATATGGAAGCTATATCCAAATCCGAACCGACTTCAATATAGTTTGACAAATGTATTTTCTGAGCAATTCCTTTAACACATGCCCGAATGTTGCTCTGCGGTTTTTTGGCCCATTCCCGGCGAAGCGCTTGTTTGAGGTGATCGACACTTTGGTAATTTTTAGTGGCAACCTTGCTTTCCAAAATACTTCAGACACAATAGTCCAACGGATTGGTATCCGGAGATTTTTGTCGCCATTCTGCGCTGGAAATGAAGCGAGGGACCTCATTTTGTAACAATTCTTGTGTGGCGCGTGCTGAGTGCGATTGTGCTGAACTGAGTCCTCTTGGAATGTCCAAGGTCTGCGACCAAAATGTTTGCGTGCCCAAGGCTTTAATACACCCTCCAGAATGTTTTCGCCATAATATTCGGTATTTATTGTGATGGCACGGTCGATTAATACAAGCGGAGAGCGACCATCGGCTGATATGGCGGCCCACACCATCACCATGGCCGGCGCTTGAGTACTTGTGGCCAACCGAAAGTTCAAATTTTCAGCTGACCTGTTTGACAATCATTTTTTTGGTTTACAAACTGCTGGACAACGATTGTTTTCTCATCGGAGAAAACCAAATTCGGCAGTTCACCACTTTCGGCGTTTCACCAAGCGAAGCAACTCTTTAGCTCTTTTGAGACTATTTTCTTTCTGTTGCGGAGTAAGTTCTTGCACTTTTTGGAATTTCAATGGTTTTACCCCCAGCTCATTTTTCAATATTTTCCAAATGGAAATTGCGATATGTTCAGCTGACGAGCCATTTTTCGGCCACTGCGACGCGGGTTTCGATCAAGTCGCTTCTTAACTTTTCGAACCATTTCTGCTGATGTTGCTGTTTTCTTCCGCCCACTTCCTTGCTGGAGTGGTCTAACGATAGCCACTTGTGGTTTTCCAGCCAAATATAAAGGAATCACACTTGAATTCCATCACGTATAACTTTTTTTCTGGAAAATTCTCACCAAAATGCTTTGGTATGCTTGTAAACAATATAATGGGCTGTCACTGGAATAATTTTAACAGCTGTCGAACGAGTGGCTTAGAAATGAAAGCAGATCTTCTTTTTTCTGTAAACATTGAGATGTGCGAAATGTGAAGGCATTTCAGCTGTTATGTCAGATTTTATAAGAGTTGTCATTATTTGAGAGGGTCATATTTTAGTATTCGGGTGTATGCGTCACTTTTGTCATGAAGCTGTGGCTAA